ATCAAGTTGGTTCCAACCCATAGCTACCCTGAACAGGGTTTCCGAGGCTATAAATCTTTACGGGAGCAGAAAGCCTCATCTTTCTCCCACGGAGCGGCTGGTAGTTTCGAACTGCTGACCTTGTGGTTCACAGCTCAATTCGTAACCACTACGCTACCAGAGCTCCCGTGGTCCATTATTAAAAACTGAAGAGATGATGCTTAGTGTTAGATATATCTTCTATTAGTTAAAGACAGATAATTCAGAAACAACAGAAGTTGCCCCATGATGTTTAGGCTCACACGACTAAGCATTTTGCAGAAATAAAATTTATAAATGAAACTTGAGGACCTTGAAAGCTTTTGTTTAAACAGGAAAATTAAGTCATTTGGTTTTTGGTTAGATTAAAATGAGTTTGATAAAACTCCCTGCTGAGAATTTGCCTTTCCACCCCAGATATACTGAATCAGAAACTACATTTTTTAACAAGGTCCCCAGGTGATTCTTATGTAATACGTAAACTATTACTTCTCCACTTTCCTCCTTTCACAGCTATAGTCTTGGGAGTATTTCCCTTGTGTATCTAACTCCTAACATAAGAGTTTTTCAAAAGATGTTTGAAGATGACTGTTAAAATAATTTTGTATCTTGCATCCTATTAGAGAATTTCTTTGAAAAAATATTTGGGACATCTTCTTATCCGTAAATCAGTGTTATCACCAAGTATAAGATTTATAGAAATTACCTTCTTTTTTCCTTTCTCTTTCTTTCTTGCTAATCCTTCTTACTTTCCTCTCCTTTCCTTTTCTTGTATGTTAATTTAATGCTACTTTACATACTGTTGTTAATTCCATTCAAATGAAAAATACATTTCTTAAAGTTGTATCAAGAGCACAACTGACATAATAGTTGACTGACAGGGTGTATTTAGAATTTCGGGTCAAGTTATGTTTTATATATCTTCCAATTTTGATTTTAAGGCATCTTTATACTCATTTGACTGACCAGTTAAAAATTGTTATCCAGGATAGCAAGAGAGATGCTGTCTAATAGTGTTATAAAGCCTGAATTTATTTATACTATGCTAGAAACCTCTACTATCTTAATGATTTTTTCTTTCACCTATGATAAGATAGGGTGTGCTATAACACAAGGCATAAAAGCTGAATGTCTTTCACTGTGCCCTTTTAGCTACTCAAATTCCCCAGAGTCGCAAAGTTTCTCACGTCAATTCAGTGGGGTACAGTCATAGAAAAGTTTCAGAATCGCGATGTTTTCGGTACTTCTGTATAGGGATATGAGAATTGACTGACCTTTTCGTATAGGGAGTGCATTCTAAGTGAAGAAACAAGTTAAGATACTATGATCTCAGGTGAGGGTGTTTTTTTTTTAATTCATTCGTTGAATGCCTATTTTCTTAACCCATGGTTTGAGCTAGAACTAAAAAAGGAAGAGGACAGTGACAGATAGGGGCAAATACATGTACATTTGTTAAGTCTTGTCATTTTTGAAAACTTACTAGAATGGGTCACAATTCTGTATCTATTTGAATTGTTACAGTTTGTTATTTTTAATTCTCTTTGAACTTATTTATGTATCTACAGATAATGTCTACTCAAAAGGAAAGCTTGACGAAGTACTAAAGCCTCCTAAAAATCTCACTAAAAGAAAGACTCTATTGCCTCAGATCCCAGGAGACTTGGGTATGAACCCAAATTTTGATGTGTGTGATGTGTCTGAATTCTGCAGCTCTTACATGAAAACTTCCTCATTGCTTGATAATGCTACTTTTGATCAGGATTCAAATACAAATATTATAGACATTAATGAAAGTGAAAATATTCCAAAAGCAGAATATAAATCGGGAAGTAAAAAAGAACAAAAAACTGTGGCTGGGAATGAAAACAGGCATATTTCTTGTGCTCCTGTGACTAAAGAATCTATTTTATCAGATCATCCCAAACCGGATTTTATCTTGCAATCCCAAGAGTTTTCTGCTGGTGCTCAGAATGTGGGAAACCTTGATCACGTCTTTAAAGTTTCCGAAGATAGAAGCATAAAGTGTGAGAAACAGACCGACTTCCTGGAAGCGATAGAGGGAAAACCTAAATGCAGTCATTTAATGTGTGACTCACAAAAAGATTATGTCTCCATTGAAAATATAAAAGAAACTGAAGGTCAGCATGAGGATTTGGGAAGAAGAACTACAGAAATCAGTAGTGAGATGACTTGTCAAGAAAGGAAACATAGAAGGCGTTCTATGTGTCATCCAACTGGTCCAAGTTTACATTTGGAACAAAAGGGAAATCCCCAAAATGCCAACATCGTAAGCCGTTCTGTGGAAATGAGTTTAGAAAATTCCGAACTGTGTAAAGATTTATCTGATGCCATAGAGCAAAGCTTTCAGAGAACAAGTAATGGGACAAGAGTGAGACGTAGCACAAGGCTTCAAAAAGATTTGAAAAATTCAGGACTTGTGTGGATCTCACTTCCATTTCCTTCCGTGTCATGCACATCTCAAAAAACTAAAAGGAGAACAGTATGCGCATTTGAAAACAGAGGATTGCAAAGTTTGTCCCCCAGAAAAGAAACTGTGTCCAGTCCAAACCTGAGTCTGCTGTCCTCCACATCAGGTAAAGAAAACATTGAAGACCCTACTGCTCCTTCTCATTTACCTGGGAAGAGGAGGATGAGCTTTTGTACATCGACACTTGCAAATCCTAAAAACACTACTCAACCAGAATACAACAGAAGACGATCCTTCCTCTACCAGAAAGAAAAAACAGCCCTCTAACTGACTTTGAGAGAACTAAAGTAAAGAACTGACATTTCTTGCAGAGCATTTGACAAGAGAAAAGGTAATCATCCACGTTTAAAAGGTTCTTTCCTTCTAGGCCCTATTCTTTGTTCAACTTCATTGTTTTAAAAGTTTCAAATAAATAAACTCAGTTGAGTTGAATCTACTTTTAAGTAGAAATAAGTGGGCTTCTTCATCATCCAAAACAAAAATACCCTATTAATATGTTTTCTCTTCCCCACAAATTGTAGATGCCTTATTAGTATTTTGCTAAAAGGAGGTTTTTTGTTTTTTCATGTCTGTCTTTTTTAAAATAATACTGTTTCTTAATTTTTATTTCATGTGAATACATATTTACCTCTGACTCTTTAGAAATTCTCTGCTGTGAAAAGCATCTTTTAGAACTGGCAGATTACATGTGGGTAAGATTTGTTTTTTAAAGACAAATTAGTAGACAGTGTGCTTTATGAAAATTGAAGGCAATATAATTTGAAAATGAAAGAAAGTGGAATGAGGTGTGTGTTTATTTTAAAATACAGCAAAAAGAAATTTTCTTTTAAGGAAAAATAGCAATTATAAAATTTATTTTCCCTATGGGTTAAAGTTAAGAGAAGCTTTGACTTGCTTTGCCCATCTTAAATGACAATTGATCGTTACAATCAAATAGTAAACATGAAATTTATAAAAATTCTTTAAAAAACCAGAATTTCCTAAACCCATCATTGTAAAATGAATATGTGTTTTATAAGTAACAATAATGTGAAAGCATTGTTTCCTTCATAAAAGCTGCCGCATGCTTGATGGAGTATATGTGGGGACTTGGTTGCTGGTAAAAATACAGCAGTTTAAGACTCAACTCCCAGATTATTCAAGTTAGTCACAGGTAACTCAGGATTCAATTCATGGTCTCTTAAAAAGAAAAGAAAAGAATAACAAAGTCTCTAGAAGAGACCCCAGAAAACTAGTTAACCAGCATTGAAGGATGTTGGTAGGTCACTGAATTTGTTTGGTTTTTTTAATGGTGTATTCCTGCCATGCTGATTTTTTATTTCATAATATCAGATACTATCTTATTTCAGCTTTTCTAAAATATCTTCTATAGCTATTTTGGTGATAGCTGTTTGGAAATCTAAATTTCTATGTATCTTAAACTTGTGAATGTGTATAAATCATTGTATCATTAAACAGTTGTCTTTGAAATCCTTTAAATCATCAAACTCTCCCACTCCATGATAGCAGAAACATGTTAACAAATAGAGCTCCCTATAAATAACACAACAGGGAAGAAAGCTCCCGCTGAGCTGCCCATTTTCCCCTCCTTAGATAGAGACTATTTGTTACCTTCTTGGCACCAGTAGGTCTGGAACTCCTGCTGCTAAAGGCTAATGTATTTTACATTACCACTCAGAGTGATCCCCAATTTCTTTGTTAAAGGGTGACTTGTTTAAAAGATTTCTTTTTATCTTTACATGTAAATTATTTATGGACTCCCCCACCCCCACCTCTTGGCAATTTAGTGCAGTTGGAAAATCTGTATCACTGAAAACAAACCAGAAAAAGAACTAATTTAGCTTCTTGTGAAGATTTTTAGTCATTAAAAGAAGAAAACAAGAAAAAAGTTTTTACATTGGCCTTCTATAACATGAAAAGTAAAAAAAACAGTTGCTCATTCCCCTCCCCCCTTCTTTTGTGTTACTATGTGGCAACATGTCATTTGTATTTGAATTGTTTAAATATACATGCTTTGTCTTGTATTTCTCAAAAAATGCCAATAAGGAAAAGAGAAACATTTGATTTATGATTTTAGATGTGATATTTCAGCTGTAAATGTATTCTATCTTATAGCAGATCCAACTTTATATATATGTATGTATAATTTACAATTTCTGTTGGTTTCAAAAGGTTTCGTTATGTTTTTTTTAATATCTGCATATAACAAACAGGCGGTATGCTTAAAATGTACAGATCTGTAATTAGTTTTCATTAGTGCTTCAACCAAAGACTTGATATCAGAATCGTTTTTTCCTGTCTTAGCTGTTTACTACAGTAACCTTTGACATTTTGCCATAGAAAGTTTCATGCGTATGCTTTTTATTCTGGTGTAGATCCTTACTCGTTCCAGAAGATGGCAGCAAGACATTCCCATAAAGCCAGAACAACTCTTAATTGTTGTGTGTGCTTCCTTCCCTTCACTCATTTTTATTATTAAAGCGTTTATTTACGGGAGGTGAGGGAGAGAACCTAACTGCTCCATTCCAAACCACACTCTCCTCTCCTCATTGTTCCATGTATAAAACACTGTTACCCACTGGCTGGTAGTGTCCAGACCCACGTACAACATGAATATAGGTTTTCTTGCTTTGTAATGGCATCACTGTATGTGCCATTCTGCAACTTTTTTTTTTCTCTCCTATCAACGAAATACCAGAAATATCCTTTAATCTTACTATGAAGTATTCTAGTACTACTTCAGTCTTAACCCCTGCATATGCTCTGAATATCTGTAATTTAGCCGTCTCCTTCCGAATGGGTACCAGTTGTCTCCTAGAAAAGTATGCCATACTTGGTTGGCCTTGTGGAAAAAAAAAAAAATGTAAGATCAAGTCTTTGAAAATAAAATAGAAAGGTTATAAAGTTAATTTTATAGATCTTACCTGGCAGGTACCCCCATATAAACACAAGTGAGGTTCGTTGAGGTCTAATTAACCCCAAATTAAATTTACCCTTTATAAACGTATGGCTTGAATTTTGGCAGTTGGATGCATGTGCTCCTATAACCACCAATACAGTCATGTCATGAAGTATTTACATCATCCCAAATGAAATCCTGCAGTCAATTCCTCTCCCCCATCTGCAATTCCTCACAACCACTGATGATTTCTATGCTTATAGCTTTGCCCTTTCCAGAATGGCATATAAATCAGCATAATGCTTTCAAGATTTATTCATGTTGCATGTTATAGGTTTTTGATTACTGTTTGCTGAGTAGTAGTCCATTTAATGGTTGTACCACAGTTTGTTTATCCATTTACCAATTGATGGATATTTGGATTCTTTCAAGTTTTTTGGATGTTACGAATAAAGCTGCTATAACCATTCGTGTATTTGTATGAACACCTGTTTTCATTTATCTTGGGTAAATACCTAGGAATAGATTACTGGGATGTATGGCAGGTATATATTTAACTTTTGAAGAAACTGCCAAACCTCTCTAGCGTTGGCTGCATTTTCTAATCCCACTTTCTGTTGTTCCATATCTTTACTTGCATCTAGTGGTGGCAGTTTCACCATTTGAGTACATGTGTAATAGTAACATCTCATGTAGTTTTGATTGCATTTTCCTAATAGGTGATGATGTTGAGCATCTGTTCATATTGTTATTTACCATCCATGTACTTTAGTCAAGTTTATTTTCAAATTTCTTGTGTGCGTTTTCTTTTGTTCTTACTGTTGTCCTATTATTAAATTTAAAGTATCCTGTGTAATTGAATGTAGTCTTTTATTGAACTAATGTGTCCTGCGTGTATTCTCCCCTTCCCCCCCACCTCCTCAGTTTGTGGCTTGTTTTTACATTGTCTTTGCCGTGTCTGTTGAAGAACAGGCTTTAATTTTGCTGTAGTAAATTTTGTCTTTTTTTTTTTTTTTTTGAATGGTTATTGTTTTTTGTATAACAATTCTTTGCCTAACTCGAGGTCACGAAGACTGTATGTTTTCTTGTAGACTTATGTTTTCTTGCAGTTTTAACCTTCTCACATTGATGATCTTATCAGGTGTGAGGGTGGGGAGTTATTTATCTTATATGGAAATTCAGCATCATTTGTGGAAAAAAATTATCCGTTCTTTGTTGAAAATTGTTTGACTTTATAAGTGTAGGTGTATTAGTGGACTTTATTTTATTCCACTGATCTATAGGAATGCCCTGAACTATTAATCTTGGTCTGATTGGTTTGCTTGTTTAGTTTTTCTTTCTGTAAGAAGTGATGTTTGAACAAAGCACACTAAAAATTTTAGAGGAATGAGGGTCCAAAAGGTACATTTTATTCCAAACATCCTATCATTATTATTCATGGACATCAGCACGATAGGCTGGTTTTATCTCATGCAAGTTTTTATTTTAAATACTTAAGTTTCCATTATATTCTAGCATGTGAAGAAGTCTAGAAGATGCATTCACTTGAAATCAGGCTAAGGTACAAAGTTTTAAAGAAATCTTGAATGGTTCTGCATTTCTGTTTGATTTACTGCCAGGCTTCTTTGTAAAATAATCTGAAGATTTGACTCTGGGTTTGGAGTTTTAGATTAGGGAGCAGAATTAGGATACAATCAAATTAGATCTCCCACCTACCAAATAGAATTTTCTTTGAACCTTAAATTTATTTGAAGAATAGTGCATAGTCTTGACTTGGCTGAAACCCATTGCCATGAGGTCGATGTGGACTCGTACCTCATGTTTGGTGCCATCCAGTTGGTTCCAAATCATAGTAACCCTAAATACAGCAGAATGATCCATTACCTGGACCTGTGTCATCCTTATAATTGTTGCTGTGTTTGTAACCCCTTTATAACCCCTGTGACGTTCCTCCTTGTTGTGCGTCTTCCTCATTTTTGGCTCACCCTCCCTCTACCAAGTATTGAAATGCTACATAGCAGAACTCAGTTCCCACACTCAGCTATACGGTTTTCAAAGCTGTAAATCTTTATGGGAGCAAAAAGTCTAAGCTTTCTCCCGCCTGCCAAGCATGTTGTTGGAAGTGCCATCAAGTCGGTTCCGACCCATAGCGACCCTGTGTAGGGTTTCTGAGGAACTGCTGTTGAGCTTGAATCGCCAAACTTATAGTTCAAATGGCTTTGAAGTCTGGCACATTAACCCACAGCGCCACACCAGGACTTTGTTGTTGTTAAGTGCCGTCGAGTCGGTTCCGACCCATAGCGACCCTGTACAGGGTTTCCGAGGCTATAAATCTTTACGGGAGTAGAAAGCCTCATCTTTCTCCCAC